AGAGAGAGAGAGAGAGAGAGAGAGAGAGAGAGAGAGATAAGAGAAAGCAGAGAGAGGAAAGAGAGAGAGAGAGAGAGAAGAGAGACCACAGAGAGAGAGAGAAGAGAGACAGCAGAGAGAGAGAAGAAACAGCAGAGAGAGAAGAGACAGCAGAGAGAGAGGCCGGCTCACACCACAAATTCTGCATTTCAGAGTGTTTGGCCTCTGGAACGCACTGGAACGCCAGATGGCCGGCTCCCTGCTCTCAGGGGCGGGAGGGAGCATGGGGTTGCATTGAAGTCAATGGCACCGCAGCCATGCCCCCCGCCCACAGTGCAATTGCCCGCACCCAGAACGCAGGCACATTAATGCCTGTGTTCCTGTCCAGTGCGATCTGCAAAAATAGTGCCCCTGAACACAGGGAGCCGGCCAGCTTGCGTTCCAGGGGCCAAATGCTCTGGAAGGCAGAGTTTGTGGAGCCTAGAGAGAGACAGCAGAGAGAGGAGAGAGAGAGGCAGTAGTCCCAGTAACGATTTGAATGTGAATGTTTTCTAAATAAAAGGTGTTTTTTTCGCTGGTTGAGCTTGTCATTTGAAAAGTAGATTTCAGATGAAAAAATAGTGTGCACCCCTGATATAGAGTGCAGCGGTGTAGGGGTCAGGAGTCAGGACTATGCAATGCACAATATAATGTATAGAGTGTAGGGGTCAGGACTATGTAATCTACTGCATAGAATATAGAGTGTAGGGGTCAGGACTATGCAATGCACAGCTTAGCGTAGAGTGTAGGGGTCAGGACTATGCAATGCACAGCTTAGCGTAGAGTGTAGGGGTCAGCACTATGCAATGCACAGCTTAGCGTATAGAGTGTAGGGGTCAGGACTATGGGTTAGTGAGTCCTTCCACAAACCGAACCCAGGCTATTATTTTATGTATAATGTGTATAACATTTGAGGATCTCTACTTCTGGAAATGCTAGTTTTCTGGCTGCCATATTTTCTGGCCTCAATATTTTGATACAAAGACCTGGAACAAGCATGAAAATATGGACTTGAGACTTTTATCCAATTTTTCTGATCTGCTGGATTTCAGGCCTTATTTTTAGATAGATGCAGCAGGCATGTCTCCCTGGTCCCAATAGTATGCAGTTGCCAAGCACAGAGACATTACCCTGCTGATTTTTGAACAGCCTCGCCAGGTCAACCTGTGCTGTAAGAGCAGAACTTTGTGCAGATGGGCTGTTTACAAAGTAAATGCCAGAGCGTTCACTAAGCAATAGGTAAAAAACTGGCACTCGCAAGGGGATCCGTCCATCTGTAACTTTGTAAAAAGGCGTAACAGCCGCAAACAAACAAACGCTTACATGTTTCAGCCCCCAAACTGGACCTTAATCGTTACGCCTTTTTACAAATAAAGTACCGGATGGACGGATCCCCTTGCAAGTGCTGTTTTTTTTACCTATTGCTTTGTGAACGCTCTGGCAGAAGCTTTACCGGCACTGAAGTCCAAACAGCAGGATTGGAGACAAGAAGGTAGAGCTGCTCAATGTTTCTGAACAGCTTGGAGGTATACGATGTGGTTCACACGTCATACAAACATCCAGCAAACCAAGTTTAGATAAAACTGTTCCAGACAGATTTATGGGAATAACATTCTAGGTGTTTGTCTTGATATATCTGTTGGAACTTCTTGCACAGCGTCACAGAGAAACACAAGCACACCGTCTGATATGAATGCTGCTCATGGCTTATCTACCTTATTAAATACAACAGGAGTATCTACCATAGATATATAAACAGAACTTATAAACACTGCCATCTAGTGACCGAAATTGTATACTGCAGAAGTTATTGCTATAGATACAATAACGTGTATTCTAACACCCCCACTCAACAACTACTCCTTATGTCAATGCCATTCTGGATCCGATTGATCATGAGGTAGCTCTGAAAGGTCTGATCCACTTTTGTTTCTCATGGGTTGGAAGTGTTTGCATCTCATCCCATGAATCTGGCTCTGGCTTTATGGCTTTGTTGCTTCTCATGGGCTTCCTGACTGAAGACTCTGGGGGCGTGGCTTCTTCTTTGTCAGAATTTGTACTGTCTGTGTTCATTTCTGTGTCGCTCTGTCCCTTGTCTCTGTGTGACATGGATGTGGATGTTCCCTCAGTTTCAGGCGTTTGTGTCAGGAAATGTTGAACACGTTGAGGTTTCATCAACAATAACACTTCTGCTGACAGTGACCATGTTGGTATCTTGGTGAAGGATTCTCTGTCCCCCCCTGAGACTCGCTGTATCCCACAAGTTCACCTTCTTCTGCACACGCATCCCATGTTGTATGTTTCTCCTTTGCGATGTGCATATGAGCTTTGCTTCCAGAAATGTTTCTATGCTTTATGTCCGGTGCTCGTCCATTCCATAGATCAGATGGTGTTTTCTCAGTTGATTTACCTGGTAGCCGGTTCTGGATATGGCATGCAGTCATAATTGCCCCTCCCCAGTATGTGGTAGGCAGGTCTGCATCAATCAGCTGACTCCTCCCACTCTCAAATAGAGTACGGTTCATTCTCTCTGGGTTGTATGGCAGAGTAGTATGAAACATTATACCATGCTGTCTGAGAATTGTCTGTGTGTTGTCACTTGTATATTCACTTCCATTGTCTGTCCGCGAGGTATGACGCATTTTACCAAATTTGTTACTTGAGCCAAAAACTGTTCAGGTTTCTCTGGTCCTTCCCTTTTGTTGTGTAGCAGATACAATGTAGTATATCCGGAGTAATCATCAATAAAAGTGAGGAAATACCTTTTCTTTCCTGGAGTTCATGTTTCCATTGGACCGCAGAGATCTGAAGGAATGAAATCCAGGTTTCTGAGCTCTGCTTTGGAAAAGTCTTTCTTGTCATGTTTCCTGTAATGCAGCTGGTACATGTCACGGTTTGATCACATGGGTTGATATGTATTCCACGTGCAGAGTCATTCTGAACTATTTTCCTATGTCAGGATTTCTGTGACCAAGTCATCTATGCCAAGCGTGGATGCAGTTTATATGTTTCCCCTCTTTGGCAGTATTAACCATTTCACTGCAGTTCAGCTGATACAGTTCATCTGTGATTTTAGCCTTTGCCAACAAGGTATCGCCTCTTCTCACTGGCGGAACTACCAGGGTCGCTGCGGTCGCAATTGCGACCGGGCCCTGGTAGTTCCGTCACTTGGGGGGGGCCCATCGAAGAAGTGCGCGGCCAGGGGGAGCGCGTCACCTGGTGGCGTAACATGCAGGGGCCCGTGACCCAGCGAGATTCGGTCCGGCACCAGCAATGACCGCCTGGGCCCTGAAGGTTCTAGTTACGCCACTGCCTCTTCTGCTGGCACAATTGTCCCCCTGAGAAGTCACCACGTTCCCTTGTTGTGTGAGATTCTTTACTGACACAAGATTGGTTTCAGGAGCGGGCTCATACAAAACATTTCTCACAGGTATTTTTCTGGTGACACTCTGGGATATAGGACAATAGAGAGAACCGTCTCCTATTCCTGCTGATTCCATTATTTGTCCATTAGCGGTTGTCATTTTCTCTGTTTGACTCTGATAAAGAAATTTCTGTCTTTTGTCATGTGACTCGCAGCTCCCGAATCCACACACCATGCTTGCAAAGATGTGGTGCAGCATCTGGATTGAGAAGCACATTCGTTATCTGAAGTGAAGTCTGTCTCTTCCTTTACGCTTTTGGCCCTTTTGTGGTTTATTTTGTTTTTGCATTCTAGCTTTCCAGATTCTGCAGTCTGCCTTTAGGTGACCTTGTTTCTTACACACAAAACATTCCGTGTTTCTGGTTGCATCTTCCTGGTTTTATTTATGTTTTCCATCTTTAGTGCAGACTCCGCACTGGAAGCACTGTCACCACCGATCCTTTCTGTTTGACGCTTGTATTCATCCGCAAGCTCGCCTTGAACATATTCTAATGTCAGTTCATCATCTGGACGTGCATCGAGTGCTGCAACAAGTGTTTCATAACTTCCAGGTAAAGCACTCAGTAATAGTGCTGCAACATGAAAGTCTTTTATCTCTTCTCCTAGACCTCTCAGGCGTTCCACCATTTCTAAGGGCGGCCTCATATCATCCTGTATATCCCGGCCTTTCATCCGCTTGGTATAGTTTTCTAGTCAGATACAGTGTATTGCTGAGGTTAGATCTTTCATGCACCTTTTGCAATGCTTCCCACATCTCCTCAGCAGTTTTACATTTACATACATGTATGATTTCATCATGCTAAGGGAGATTGTGCTCTGAGCTTTTTAGATCTGACTCTGTCCATTCAGCTGTGGGTTGTGCTGGACTGATTTCATCCGCACACTTCCACGTCACGCCTCTTATTAGCAGCATTCTCGTCTTCAATTTCCATGACTGGTAGGCTGTAACCGCGCTATAACTCGACTGTGACTGTGCCTGGGCCCATAACCTGTTGGAACTTCTTGCACAGCCTGACAGAGAAACAGAAGCGCACAGTCTGATATGCATGATGCACATGCCTTGGCTAAAACAGGAAGGAAGCTTTATTCTCTACCTTATTCAATACAACAGAGTATATACCATAGATATAACAGAACACTGCCATCTAATGACCGGAATTGTATACTGCAGGAGTTGTTGCTATAAATACAATAATGTGTATTCTAACAATATCGCAATGTGCAATAAAATAAGTTTTACATATTAATAGATCATGTTCAAAGAAATACAACTGTGTAAGGATATAGAGGGCATGTGATTTGTTTCATGTTAACCTGCATGGGGTCAGTTGTTCCTGATCTGCTGAGACCATTGGGCATTGTTTTGAAGCCGGTCTAAGGAACCCAAAAATTGACTATCGTACCATGAAAGTGTACTAACAATGAGGTGCAAACACACGCTACTGCATACTTTGCTAAACCTGTACAAATGCAGTAAATGGATGCTAAAACATGCCAATGTCATCAAAATGTTTCTTAACATGCATTAAATAAGGTTATTGTGAGGTTCCAGAATGCATTTCTCCTCAGATGAAATCCACTCTCAGCATCCTAACAACTGAAAGTGTGACAAGGCGTCCTCACTAATGGCACAGCTGCAGCCATTCAGGATGGAAATGACGCCAGTTTTTATACTGCAGTCATTTTCCTACATTATTTTCATTTCTTATGCAAATGAGTGTTTATTTTGAGCCAATGTGTCATTTTTCTGCGTTCTTCAATTCAAGCTCTATCTGTGTGGATAGAAGGCATAGAAGAGTTTACTCCTGGCCTTGTTCCATCATGTTGTACACAGGGAGGCAGGGAAGGTCATGGACAGACAGGTGTCATTTCCATCTGTTAACACATGGATGAACATGGCATGACTCTTCCCTAAACAAAGCGGCCGGTGCTGAGAAGCCGTTCCCATCTCATTTATTCATTTCATCTTTTAGTTATTGCCATGGAGTGTGTTTGAGTTCTCCATTCTAACCTGTGTAGTGAATAGCATGTTGTGTTGCAATGTCTGTATACTATAATGTGGAACTGAGATAGATAATGAAAAAGTTATCTTTATCCTGCAAACTGATGAAAAGTCTGGGGATTGAACCATGTTTTTGTTGGTTATGTGTTTAGATGAAGCACTGAGATCTTGAGGAATGCTGAATTACATTTTACTTGCTTGGGAGAACATTACATCAGAATACAGCATTGTGCAGGAAGCATATATATAGAAAAACGTCCTGTGTATCATACATAAGCATGCATACAGAGAGTAACATTGTACTACACTGCCATCTACAGCTCAAATGACAAACCACAGTCAGCAATACAATTAGTATGCTGTTGCATTTCCAACACCCCTTCTCAAGAACATGTGTTGCTATATGACGTTTAGCGCCTCTGGAAGGAAACTGTGATGATCCTTTGTCAATGGCTTGGTGAGTGTGTCCGCAGTCATGTCTTCTGAAGAGCAATATTGCATGTCGATAATGGCTTGATCGAGTGTCCTTAAGCAGATGATACTTCACGTTGATGTGCTTGGTTCTAGGGTTGACTCCTTCTGATTTGGTCAACTTTATACATCCCTGGTTGTCTTCACAGATTGGGATGGGGTCTGACATGTCTATACCATAGAGAGCTCCTGGCCGGCCGTTTTTTTACTACGGCCGGCCCGGAGGTAGTTAAAAGCTGGCAAATCCATATTACTTCTTGACACGCGTGTGCTGCTGCTATGTATTCAGCTTCAGTTGAGGAAAGTGCGGCAGTTGTTTCCTTTCGGCCTGACCAGCTTATAGTTCCTTCCCTGTAATGGAAGATGTAACTACTTGTGGATTTGTGGTCTGTGCAGTCTCCGGACCAATCAGCATCCGTATATCCAATTCGTTTTGAATTTGATGCTGCTGGCAGTTCTAACTTCATCCAAATTGTTCTTTTTAAGTATTGCATTACCCTCTTTACTACATTCCAGTCATGCTGACAGGGTGCTGCGACTTGTCTACAGAGCATGCCGACTGCTGCGCTATGTCTGGTCTTGTCACAGTAGCAATGTATAGCAGCTTTCTGATTGCTCTGCGGTACTTGTCATTGTTGGGTAGCAAGTTTTCTGCTTTATTTCTCTTCTGGTAGCCGGGTTCCAGAGGTGTTGTTACTTCCTTTGCATCTTCCTTGTGGAATTGTTCCAAAGTTTCTGCAATTTTCTGACTTTTGTTGAGGAGATATCTTCCATCTTCTTCTCTCTCTCTATCTGAATTCCCAGATGGTGACGGATGTTACCGAGTTCTTTCATTTCAAAGTTTTGTTTTAGTTTGTGAACTATTTGACTATAGTCCCCTTCCTGTTCACAACAGGTTATAATGTCATCAACATAAATGCTATTCAGTATGTCCATCTGTCTTCTTGAATCCTGGACTAAAGACCGGGATCTACTTTGCTTCTTGTGAGTATTTCATTCACTTTCTCATTCCACATTCTTGCAGATTGCTGGAGTCCGTAGATGCTCTTGCGGAGTTTACACACGAGGTGGTGTCCTTGCTCAGACCTCGGTGGTTGCTTCATGTAGAGATCTTCCTTAATGTCTCCATATAGGAAAGCAGTTTTAATGTCTAGGTGTTTCACTTACATGTCCTTCCCGGCTGCGATGTTAAGGAGTGTTCTGATGGTGGAGTGTTTACGATGGGGGGGGCGAATGTTTCATCATAGCCTTCTCCAAATTCCTGGGAGTATCCCTTGGCAACCAATCTGGCCTTGTATTTGTGGATATTTCCTTCTGTCACCGTGCCCCCCTTCTTATCCCCACCTTTGGACATATGTCTGAACTGAGGATGTTTTTTGATGCCCAAGGATGCTGCCTCACCCCTTTTTTGGCTGCGGTTTCAGCTCCTGGTCAGAAGTAGATTTTTTTCTGTTATTCCATTTTCTTCTTTTCACTTTCCCCCTTTTTCTATCCAACCTTTTTTTCAAGCGTTCTTCTCGAAGCACATTACACCACAGTTTACAAATTAGACTTCTCAGCATCCTAACAAGTGAAAAGTGTGACAAGGCATCCTCACTAACCATAACTCCCTGTTGTGTGCCTTCTTACCTGGGGTCCGGCAGGCATGGCAGGCTCCTTCTTTGGGTGATTTGGTGCCCATCGTTGGCTGGTTGCGCGTGTGCGCATGCGCACCTCCGTGCGCTTAATGCACGTGCGTGGTGTGTGTGCGCGCACGTGACGTTGCCATGGCCTATTAGTCACCTCAGCTGCTGATCATCAACGGGGAGGGCCTTGCGTGCACACCTTCTCGCCTCACCGTCCCATTAGCTCCCAGAGATCTGTAGCTTCCTCGTTCCCAGACAACGGGGCCGTTTCTGGTCCCTGCTGGGTTTAAATTCCAGCCAGAGCCAAGACTTCTTATTCTGCCATTCCCAAAGCAGCTACAAAGCTTTATCTTGTTTTCCTGTTTCCGGCCTTCCTTACCCACTACTTGGATCTCCTGGTTATCTACCCCTGGCTTGACTTCCCATTTATTATACTTGCTGCCTGCCTTGACCTGGACTATATTCTGATGCCGCAGTCTTGGATTCTCCTATGTTGTACTTTAGCCTGGACTCTCCTTCTGGTATTGTTCCCTGCTTTTGGGATCCACTCCAGCAAACTGGGCTACTCCGCCCCCTCCCTGACACTCCCATACCAAAATGTCTGCTCTGAAATGCTTAACCCTTAATGTTACGGGTTTCAATTCTCCAAAAAAAGGAAACCTGAACTTTCACTCCCAAAATATAGACATAGTTTTGTCTTCAGGAGACCCGTTTCTCCCGCTCCTCATTTACAACATTTTTCCATAACCAATACTCTCAAATATACAGGTGACACTGGCTCTCTATATACACAGGTGACACTGGCTCTCTATATACACAGGTGACACTGGCTCTCTATATACACAGGTGACACTGGCTCTCTATACACAGGTGACACTGGCTCTCTATATACACAGGTGACACTGGCTCTCTATATACACAGGTGACACTGGCTCTCTATACACAGGTGACACTGGTTATACACAGGTGACACTGGCTCTCTATACACAGGTGACACTGGCTCTCTATACACAGGTGACACTGGCTCTCTATACACAGGCGACACTGGCTCTCTATATACAGGCGACACTTGCTCTCTATACACAGGCGACACTGGCTCTCTATACACAGGT